TTCCCCTGGGGAACACGTGGATACCGCTAGTCCGCGGCAGTCTTCAGTGTTTTGTGAGCTCCTGGTGGAGCAACCTCTTGTGAGCTCCTGCAGGAGCATCAGATGGGGAGTGGCAGCAAGGATGCGTACTCCACGTGCACGGGCTGCGGCAACTGGGCGTGGAACTGGCGCCTCAAGAAGCAGAAGGGCGCCTGCGCCATCTGTGGCACGCAGATGCCTGGGTGGTCTACCTCGGCCAATGGCACGTGGTTCGCCCCGTGGGGGGGTCAGTCTGCCTGGCCTAAGCTCCCCTCCGCGCCGACGTTGGACGACTACATGGCCAAGGCGTTGCAGTCGGCTGGCCTGGGCGCGGATCCTGCTGCGGCGCAGCTGGCCTCTCAGCTTGGGGCCTTGGCGGCGGCGAAGAAGCCTGCCGCTGCGCCCAAGCCTGCCTACTCGGTTCTCAAGGCGGCCACGGCGGAGTGCTCCCGCAAGCAGGACGCCTTGGATAGGGCGGCGCGTGCGGTCGAGAGCGCCAAGCTGCAGCTGGAGAAGGCGACCGCGGTCTGGGAGAAGGCCACCGATGAGATGGTCGAGGCGGAGTGCGCGCGCCTGCAGGCTCAGGAGCTGGTCGACACCTCCTCGGACAAGCCTGACGGCATCACCTTCAAGGTCGACCCCTCCCTGTTCGCGGAGCTGGACGAGCTGGAGGAGTCGGACAGGAAGGCGCTTGAGATGTTCCAGAAACAGCTGGAGGAGATTTCCAAGCAGGCGTCGGAGAAGCAGAAGGAGTTCCAGAAGTTGCTGGACCAGGCGAAGAATGCCCACAAGGAGGCGGCCACCAAGCGGCGTCGTCGTGACGAGGACGGTGGTGCAGTCCGCGGTGAAGGCGACGGTGGAGGAGCCCCCTCCGCGGCCGCTGCAGGCCCAGGCGGCGCTTCTGCGGCCGCCAGCCAGGGCAGCAAGGCCTCGCCTGCCGTCTCCGAGGCGGTCCGCAAGGACATGCGCGCCAAGTTCCAGGACAATTCGGTGGTCCAGGCGAAGGCGGCCGCTCGTGCCAAGACTGCTGCCAAGCCTGGTGTCCAAGGCGCTGATGTCGGCCCTCCTGCTGCTGCTGCCACGGGTTCCTAGCGGGGCTGCTCCGTGCCCCTGGCAGCGGGGCGAAGCGCTGCTGGCTCATGAGGACGTACCTGATCCTGAGGATGACTCGCTGTCCATCCTCTTCGGCAACATCACGGAGTGGGGGCCGCAGGCTGCACGATTCTTGTCCCAGGAGTCGGCGCGCAGCGTGGTGGCCTTCTGCGAGACACACAAGGGACCTGATGATATGCATGACATCCGGTCGAGGTTGGACAAGGACGGCTGGAGGGTCACCCACACGGCTGCTCGGCCATCGGGCAGGTCGGACACGGGCCTCTCTGGCGGGGAGTGGATATTGACTAAGAAGCACATTGCGGCGACGAGCTTTGAGAGTGTTCGCCGCGCATCTTTGGAAGCGGGCAGGTTGGACCCCTGCCGCGGGTTCGTGCCGCTGGTGCTTCACACTCGTGCTGGCAATTTGGTGCTGATATCTGCCTACCTCCAGCCTGGCCTGGGGGTGAAGGGGAGGAACAACGAGGTGCTCGTGGCGCTGGGCTCGTTCGTCCGCTCATTGGCGGACCCCTTCTTGATCATGGCCGATTGGAATATTGAACCAGGGCCCTTTGTGCAGTCGGGCTGGCCTGAACGACTGGGTGCGCGGGTGGTCACACCGACGTGTATCACTACATGCGACAAGGGTCCTGGCAGAATGTACGACTATGGCCTGGTGGGCCGCGGCTTCCCTGAAGTGACCTTGAGCCCTGACTTGTCGGTGCCGTGGAAGACGCACTGCGGGGTTCACATCTCGGTGAAGGCAGCACGCATCCAGCGCTGGTACCGCCAGCTCGTGCTGCCGCAGCCGCTGCCATCTCGAGAAAGGCCTTGCGCGGCCGCTGACCCAGACAGCAAGACGTCGAAGCGCAAGGCGGCCGCACGTGAGCGCAAGGTACAGCAACTTCCGTCTGACATGCAGGACTTGTTCGGTGATTTCTTTGGGCCCATGGAGGGGCCAGATGGCATGACGTCCTTTGGGGGCCCCCAGAGCACGCACTGCTCGCCTCCCAGGCCCGCTGGGCCATCGGGGGTTGAGGGTACCGACTCTGGGGGCAGTCGATCTGATGTCGGCAGCGAGGTGGCTTTTGCTATTGCGGCTGAGACTTGGGACGAGGCTATGACTCAGATCTACTGGGAAGGTGTCCCTGAACCGCATGGTCAGGCCCCGTCTGGGTTCCTGGGCCATCATGCCCCCTACGATTCTGCACGTCACTTCGCCTTCCGCTGGCAGGCTAGGGGCCGTGAGCGGGTCGATGCTTTGCACAACCATTGGGTCACGGTCATGGAGAGGGCCGTGCTCCTGCATGAGAAGGTTGACTCTGACAAGTGGAAGCAGTACTCAGGCCGTGCTCGTGGCCCTGCCTGTTGTTGGAAGCTGGTACGGTCGACTCCTGGACGTGCCCACATGCGCAACGAGCAGGCTGAGTGGTGGGGCCTTGTCAGCACGCTGGTCACGCGCTACGTGGCCCTGGTGAGGAATGCTTCTGACCCGCACCAGGCGGCCCAGTGCGTCGTGAAGGCGCGTCAGTTGATCGAGCAGCTGGACGGCAAGTCGGACGAGCTGTACTTTGGCAAGAAGCAGGACCCCCAGGAGGTCTTCGTCTGGAAGGGCATGGTGCTCAGCCTCGATCTGGTCGATGCTGCTGCCTTGCCTGAGCTTTTGGAGAGAACTCGCAGGTGGGCTGACCTGTCAAACGCTCGGGCCATGATGGCCTCCAGGTCCGCCTTCATGAACTGGGTCCAGGAGACGTGGTCCGCTAAACCTGGGGCCGTCCACAGGCATGTGAAACCAGCGGAGGCCCCAGCTTGGGAAAGTAAGGACTCCTGGGGCACCGTCACTTCGGACAACCAGGCTATGCTTCAAGGTCTGGCGAAGGAGTGGCAGGCGATGTGGACCGACCCAGTCGACTCGCCTGAGGACGTGCTGGCTATGATGCAGAAGTGTTTCGATGCTGCCAGGGAGGACCCCCTGCCCGCCATCACGCTGCTGGACCTGGATGCTGTGTTGCCGAGGATCCCTGCGAGGAAGGCCAAGGGCGTGGATTCGCTGAGCCCGTTGGATATCCAACGGCTACCTGATGCAGCTCGTCAGGCCTTCGTGGACACCTTGAACGCTATCGAGGCAGCAGGGGTTTGGCCTTCCTGTCTCAGCTGTGTTTTCGGAGCAGCCATCCCGAAGGAGGCGGGGGGCTGTCGTGTGCTGGGGCTGGTTCCCATGTTGCAGAAGGTGTGGTCAAAGATCCGCTCTCGAGCTTCGGGGGAGTGGTCGGCTTCGCTCTCTGCTTTCTGGGACACTGCTATTGCTGGATCGTCCGCCCTACGGGCGGCGCTGATTCGTGCAGTGATGGACGAGGGGGCCCACGAGCTGGCCTTTGAGCATGCGACGCTTTTCTTAGATTTGACAAAGTTCTACGACTCTGTGAGTTTTGTATTGCTCATGCAGGCTGGCCTGCAGATCGGTTTCCCGCCGATCATTTTGTTGCTGGAGGTTGGCCTCTACTCCTTCCCGCGCCTATTGAAGAAGGGCCAGATGATAACGGAGGCGGTGGAGGTCACCAGGTCGATCGTCGCGGGGTCGGGGCTCGGAGTACCCTTGGCCAAAGTCATGTTGCATCGGATGTTGGAGAAGGTACACCGCGAGGTCCCTCCTGCTGGTCTGTGGAGCTATATTGATGACATTGTCGGCCGCGCGGAGGGGACCAAGCAGAAGGTCATCCGCGACCTCGAGGCGACGGCCGATGTCATGTCAGGTGGCCTTCGCGAGCTTCGTCTCCAGATCTCCACCAAGACGAAGCTCGTGGCGAGCTCGGACGACCTGGGCGCGGAGCTGGAGAAGAGGCTGCGCCGCAAGGGCATCCCTGTGGAGTTTGTGCGCGCCACGGTGGACCTGGGCTCCGACGCTGCCGCTGCCAGGGTGAGAGCCTCTGCCAGGATGATGAAGCGCCGCGCCCAGGCGAGGCTCAGACAACGTAAGGTGATGAAGGTCAGGCGTCTGGCTAAGCTGCGCTTCGTGACGAAGAAGCTCTGGTCGTCAGGCGTGTACCCAGCGTCCGTCTTCGGTCATCAGTTGATGGGAACCCCTCCCACTACGCTGCTGGCCATGCGTCGTGACGCAGCTGCTGCGGTGGCTGGAGCAAAGCGGGGACGGTGCCTGACTACCGTGCTGCAGGCGATCTACGGCACTGCTGAGCCTGGTGTGGATTTACGCCGTCAGTTACTGCGTGAATGGGTGGCCTTGTGGTTGACACAGCCCGGCCTGCACCCACGTATCTGCAAGGTATGGCCCATGGTGCTGGCGAGGCTCAAGCGGGGCAAGGCCGTCTGCTGGAAGGATGTTCGTGGTCCGATTGCTGCACTGCAAGCGACATTGTTGCAAGTGGGTTGGGATCCCCAGTCGCCGTTGGTGTGGTCTCGGCCCTTAGCAGACGGCACGATCGATGATTGGATCTTCCCCTCCTTCGGTGATGAGCAGTTCGGCGCGGCGGTACTGGCCCATTTTGATGATATGCTGGGCGCTTTCATGGATGATTGTGTCGCGCAGCAGTGGCAGTCAGCGGCTCATCATGCGGCGGGCGACGACCTGGCGGGCGGCGCCGACTTGACGACCGTGTCCATTGAGCTGAACCGCTTCGCCAAGAGGTTGCAGTTTGACGAGTGGTCGGCGGATGTCGCCGTGGTGAGCGGCGGCCAGTGGACTCGTGAGAGGCAGCTCGCTGCAGGCTATGCTTGTCCGTTGCTGTGCCCCCGCTGCAAAGAGATGCCTGAGACTTTAGCGCACCGTATTTGGACGTGCTCTGCTAATTGCGGGCACGAGGACTTTTCAAAGACTGATTTTCTGGTTCCCCAAGCCCTCGCCAGCCTGGACGCGCAGCCCGCGTTATGGCTTCGAGGAGTCCCCTCGAAGGACCTTGTGGTGCCCAAGTTTGTGGAGAGCTCGGAGGCGGCCCAAAAGGTCCTTCTTGGGGAGGGGGCCTTGCTGGATCACTGTGTGGCCCCTGGAGCTCCCCCTTTGTTCATTTTTGGGGATGGTTCTGGAGGCGAGTTCAGTTCGGATCCCCGTCGGAGGCGATGCGGCTCGGCTATAGTGGTGATGCGTCAGGATGCCTCGTCGCCCTTCTGGAGCCCAGTGTGTGGGGTGGCTCAGATTCTCACGGGCAGGAAGCAAACTGTCCCGCGTGCGGAGCTGCAGGCTCTCTGTCTCGCCCTCGAGAACTCGAGGGGACCGATTTGCTATGTGACCGACTGTAAGAGTGTGACTGTTGACTGGCACAACGGACGTGCCAAGTTCCCTCGGGGCCTCAACGGGGACCTCTGGGTCCGTGTCGGTGCCGCTTTGAGGTCCCGCGGCCCTGGGGAGGTTTCTGTTTTGTGGACCCCCTCGCACAGGGAGGACGAGCTACAGTCGGTCAAGACTGAATTCGAGTTGTTTTTGAGCCTGGGCAACGCCAGTGCCGACGCCTGGGCGGGTGCTTCGGCCCAGTGGGCCTGGGAGTGGTGTGTGCTGCCCCCCGTCCCTCGCACCGACTTGTGGGACACGACGGCGGCACTGGTGAGGCTCAGAGCTCGGAGAGCTTTGCTGATGGCGCTCGAGGTTGAACCCTGGGTTGGCGAGAGACCTGCCCGCGAGCGTCAGCAGCGTAGGCCAACCCGTTTGGAGACGGCCCTGGCCAGGAGCTCTCATGTCTTTGTCCCCTTTGCGGGACGCTGGAGGTGCAAGCTGTGCAAGAATATTATCCCGCGTAGTAGGCTCTTCCAGGTCGCCTCGACCCAGTGTCCTGGTCGGTCTCTCGCCCCTCTGTTGGACGCTGGCGGAAAGACTGGCCTTCCCGCGGAGTATGGAGAGGGTTTCGAGGCGGCCACTGGAGAAGTGCGAGTGGGTGGTGTTTTGCTGCACCCGAGCCACCAGCTCGCCAAGATGAATGCTTTCGGACTGTTCTTTTGCATGACGTGTGGGCGCACGGCCACTGCGGACGCCAGGCACCTGTCTGTGGCGTGCTCCCCTCCCACCCGCAAAGGTGGGGAGAATCTGCGCAGAATTCGGAAAGGACTCTTTCCGAGCTATCGTGGCCCACCTGTGTCCGTGATGGCTGCTCAGTCTGAAGATGCTGTGCGTTGCTCCCTCCCCGCCTGCGGCCTCTGCAGGACGCTTCACCTGCGGGTGCCCCGTCGGCCGAAGGGAGGGAGTCTGTTCCTTTGCTTGATGAATATTTGAGAGTGGCGTCGAGACGCCACCCGTGCGACACGGCGGCCGCCATGAGCTTCGACGAGGCGCCCCGTGCTGCCGCCGCTGGCCCGCCCGCTGCCGCCGCCGCCTTGAGGGAGGTGGTGGCGGGGCCTCTGGAGTGCGGCAGTGTTGTCCCAGGGCAGCAGCGGGGCGGTGCGTCTGTGTGGGAGGAAGGTTGGGTGTGATGGCCGCGTTGCGGCGCTCAGCAGTGTCCAGCAGTGTCCCCCTCCTCCTCCCCCTTCTCCTCCTCCTCTTCCTGCTCCTCCTCCTCCTCCATCTCCGCGATTCCTGGGGGCGCTGCGAGTTTCGCAAGTGTCGCCGCTTCCGTGGGCTCCTGGGAGGTCCCGTGGAGTCGGTAGTCATGCACACTTCGTCGAGACCTCGCGGTTTCCCTGGTGGTTGCGATCCGCTCGGTTGTCGCCTACTTCGTGGACGCTTCGTTCCACCAGAGCAGATTCTCCTCGCAACGTGTTTTTTGTTGTTGGTATGGAGCGCTCACATGAATGATCAACTCGCGTGGAGAAGAGTTGGATACGTGTCGGGTAAGCATCATTCTGAGCTCGATGGGCCCTCCACATGCCCCTGGGACGCCCAGAAAGCGACTCGGTAGTTGGTCCCAGTGGAAGGCCTCCGGGTCTAGGGCCAGTTTCCCCGGGACCCGCTTCCTTCGTGACGAGGTCAGGGGTTCACTCGGCTGCCGACGTGCCTTGAGACTCGGAGCCCTCGCCGGAGCCTGGGGGAGCAGGGCTCTCGGGAGGGATGCAAAGTAAGAGTGACACGCGCGTCGCATTTTGAAGCTCAGCGCGTTAATTACGTACTCATTCTGTCTTTGTTGAAACATTGGGTACTTCTTCAACAGTAACGCGCGTGTGGGTTCGTCCGACCGACGTGGCATTGATATCGTGTTTGCTCTCCGAGGTCACGTGGTGTTGCTTAGGCGGTCGTTCCCTGTCCCTCCTGGTCGCCCACGCGGGATCGAAATAGATGGGGTCGTTGGATCGCGCCGCACCGCAGATGCATCGGCGATGCGGCTCTTTGTCGAGCCCGATGTTCTCCACGCCAACGTCGCCGATGCATCGCCGACGTCGCCAACGCATCGGCGAGGCAGCGCCATCCTTGAACCCCGGACCCTACAGTGAGCGGCTTGAATAAGGACCACTTACTTTTCAAAAGGGGCTCGGTCGTTCCTTAGGCTTGCGTGCGTTATTTACAGTTCCTTATGCGTTATTTGTTATGCATCGTTCCTTATGCGTTATTTCTTGGGATAAAAAGGGGCTTCGTTCCTTATGTATCGTTCCTTAGGTCAGGCCGATGACTGTATTTGGGCGGTCTCCCTCGAGGCTCCCCACCCCCTCCCCCCGAGGCGCCGCCTCAACGACTTCCGCATGGCGATGAACGAGCTGCTGACGTCGCCGGAGCAGGACGCCCCCCGGGGCTTTTGGGGCGGGGCGGCGGGCGGGCGGCCGATGATCACAGGATCCAAAGGTGCCTCCCTCCTCGCCTCCCTCCTCCTCCTCCGCCTCCTCCTCCTCCTCCTCCTCCTCCTCCTCCTCCTCCTCCTCCTCCTCCTCCTCCTCCCCCTCCCCCTCCCCCTCCCTCCTCCTCCTCCTCCTCCTCCCCCCTCCCTCTCCCTCCTCCATTGTGGCTCAAGCCAGTTTGGCAGCACAAGCCCAGGTGCCTGGTCGTTCTGGATAGTCTCAAGAAGTCGTCTATGTCCCTCGAAGCGTCGATCCAAAACTGCGGCCTGACAAAAAAATGGAGCGCCGCACTGCGGTTGCTCCGCGAAGGAATTCAATTGGGTTTGCAACTCGTCCCAAGCCAGTACGTTGCGACTGTCAACGCATGCAGAAAAGGCGGGCAATGGCAACACGCGTTGTCAGTGCGCAGTGAGATGTGGGAGGCGAAGCTGGAGCCCAACGTCATCAGCTACAGCGCTGAGAGCCCCCAAAAGGCCGGCCCAGGCAACCCCCAGACGGCCCCGACAATGCCTCACACGGCCTCCAGACGGCCCAAGAGGCTTTCGAAACGCCCCAAGTGGGCTCCACGATGAGCCCCAAGAGAGCCCGAACACCGAACCATCGTCCCATTTCCGCTGGGAAACGTACATTTTGGCAGTTCCAGGGCCCTCTTCGTAGCATCCAAGACGGCCATACAGGGTCCCAAGATTGCCCCATGACGGCTCGTGATGCGCCCCTGGCGGCCCACGGGGTACCCAAGACAGCCTCAAGAGCGGCCCAGGACGGCCCAACACGACCCCCAGACGGTGCTCAGATTGCTCCAGAAACGCCCAATGCGACCCCAGGCAACCGCAAGACGGCCCCGACAACGCCTCACACGGCCTCTAGACGGCCCAAGAGGCTTCCGAAACGCCCCAAGTGAGCTCCACGACGAGCCCCTTGCCCAGCGAGATGTAGGAGGCAAAGCTGGGGCCCAACATCAGCAGCTACAAAGCTGAAGTTAACTTGTGCGAAACATGCAAGTGGCAATGGGCGATGGCGTTCCTTTGAGCCCAGCGTCACCAATTACATCGCTGGGACCCGCGAATGCGAGAAGGGCGGGAAGTGACATGGGGGTCTGGTGCTACTCAGCTAGACGTGAGAGGCGAGGCTGGAGGTCAGTGTCATCAGCTACAACGCAGGGGCCAGCCCGCCCGAGAAGGGCGCACACTGGGCGCTGGTCGCTGTGGCGCTGCCGAGCGAGATGTGGGAGGCGAAGCTGGGGCCCGGCGTCATCTCTCTGGCGTTATCTCTCTGGGACGCCGAGCAGCCAGAGCGGGCTCTGGCGATGCTCGGCCGCGGAGGCGAAGACAGAGCAGCTGAAGAAGCGTGCGTCCGAGCTTGTGGCCAAGCTCTCCGAGGAGCAGACGTCGCGGGAGACGGCAAGAAGCGACGCATCTGCCGCGAAAGCCCCGCGGTTCGTGACATCCGCGCCCACGTGGCACGTGGCAGGGCGAGCCCACGCGTCCCCTGTGGCCCTTGAGTCCCGTGCCCGCAAGGCATGCGGTGGGGCGCGCCAGGTTTCCCCGCCTCCCATTTTCTTCTTCCCGTGTCTTCCCCCCGCCCCTCCTGCTTCCGGCTTCGGTCTCTCACCGTGCACCTTGCCAGCTTGTTGCCGAGATCCCTCGATTCTTGGCGTGGTCGCTTTCTGCCTGCGCGCCTGGGTCACATCATCACCTGCATCCGCGAACCTCCCTCCCCCCCTCGACTGCCCCCCCCTGCTCGTCCCTCCGTCGGGAGGAGATATGGCAGGAACAGGAAGTGATGAGGGACGGGGATGTTGCCTGGTCCTCCAGCGGCCTCCGACGCCGACCTGGAAAACCACCAAATCTCCCGGGCCGTCCTCCCCGTCCTGGAAAACGATCGAATCGCCCTGGCACGTGTACATGTACGCAAGATGTCACGAAATAACAAGAGTACCAAGCCCAAGAGTTGCATACCTCTGGGTCGGTTTTGTACCCCCCCCGCTGGTTGGACCCTCGTTGTTGAATGAACTGCTGCTGGTCTCCGTTCCCCCCCTGTTTCTCCTCCTCCTCCTCCTCCTCCTCCTCCTCCTCCTCCTCCTCCTCCTCCTCCTCCTCCCCCGCCTCCGCCCCCCCCTCCTCTGGAGGTCCCTGGAGGCCCCTCGTGCCGAGGCCGCCTGCCCTGCCTGCCTTGCCCGCCCGACTGCCCCGAAACAGCCCGGCGCGGTTGTTTGGGGTGTTGGGCGGCTGGGGGGATGTGCCTGGAACCATCGCCCCCGATGCCGCGGCCCTGGTTTCTCTCGTCGGCGACGCGGAGGCTGCGCAGCGTCTACGGGCGCTCCTTCCCGCATTGCTGGCGATGCTTCGAGGCGAGCCGCCTACATGGCTGGAGAGGCTGCGGCGCAACGTCGCCCTCCACGCTGACGCTTCGGGCATCGACGTGGCGGCGGCGGACGCTGCCTTGCTTCGCCAGGCCCAGGGCGGGCCCCGCCTCGAAGTGCGACGGGACGACGTGGGCCGTGGCGCTGCCAGCTTCTCCGCGGACGCCGCGGTGTTCGTGCCTCACGGCGTGGGCGACATGGGCGGCGGCGGCGAGGAGCTCGAGTACCAGTTCGACGCAGGCTCGGCCACGGTCCCGTCGGTCTGGCCTGGGCTCTGGGAGGTCTGCGAGTCCCTACCGTTGGTGCACGATGCCTTCTCGGACTATGTGGAGAAAGCCTTGTCCTCGACGCTGGAGGAGGCTGGCAGCACGGGATCCGCCTCCGTGTGCGTGCTCGGGGTTGCGCCTGGTGCTTGGGAGCCTTTGGAGGGCTCCCTCGTGGGCGTGGGCGATGCGGAGTCCGTCATAGCAGATGTCGTGGACGAGGTGACGCACCTATCCGACGAGCAGTTTCCCGTGCCAGAGTCGCAGGGCTTCAAGTTCGCCGCCTCGCCGTGCTCGGTATTCTGTGGTCTGGGCGAGGAGTCGACTGGCCCCTCGAAGCGCAGGGGGCTCCATCGCATTGAGCAGCGGGCGCCTTCGCCTCCTCGTGGTGCACCGTTCGGTTTCTCGCAGGAGCAGCTGTGCTCCTCAACGATCAAGCCGCCAGATCCAAACTCAGAGTGCCACCAACAGTGATCATCATCGAAGTGACCTTGCTCGAGGTCTGCCTGTCGGATGGTGGCTTCAGATATGGAGCGTCCTTCGTGCTGTACGTGTCTTTCGGCTTCTTCCTCGTGGTTTTCGTGGTGCTCGAGGGCGTGCCGCACGTGGGATTTTGAGCAGTGCAGCGGCAAACAAATCCTCCCCCGCCTCCGCCCCCTCCTCCTCTGGAGGTCCCTGGAGGTCCCCCGCCGAGGCCGCCTGCCCTGCCTGCCCTGCCCGCGCGACTGCCCCGAAACAGCCTGGCGCGGTTGTTTGGGGTGTTGGGCGGCTGGGGGGATGGGCCGGGGCCCCTCGCGCCGAGGTCGCCTGCCCTGCCTGCCCTGCCCGCCCGACTGCCCCGAAACAGCCCGGCGCGGTTGGTTGGTGTGGTGGGGGGCTGGGGGGATGGGCCTGGAACCATCGCCCCCGATGCCGCCTCGCGGCTGCCACTGCCCCCCTTGCTGCCCCCCCCGCGTTTTCTCTTCTGCTTCCTGATCCTTTCCTCCTCCTCCTGCTCTTCCTGCTCCTCCCCCTCCTCCTCCTCCTCCTCCTCCTCCTCCTCCTCCTCCTCCTCCTCCTCCTCATCATCATCATCATCATCATCATCATCATCATCATTTTGTAGGCAGCCCGAGTTTGCAGTCAGAATCGATAGCCTGATCGATGAGATGGGTGTCTCTGAAGATGCTGCCTCGGCTGTCCTTGAGGTGAAGTCGATGATGCACATTGTAGCACATGAAATCAAACAATCCTCGTGCTCTCAAAGCTCTCGTACCATTGGTCACAAAATATCGTGGTGCATGTCGTATGATCGTGCTCGCCGTCGTCGTGATCTCGATAAACAACGATTAGCTATTCGCAGGTTTCCGAAGCTTCGTGAATTTGTTGATGATGATGCTCACCTCATTGACTCCGATGGCTTTTATGAGTATCTGGCGGAGCTGAGTCGTCAGGACTTGGACAACGACCGTCAGGAGATTTTGAATGACCAGTCTATTTCCTCTCCAGCTAGGACTGCGGGGCTTGCAAAAATTGAAAGGCTGTCTCGAGCTTGGGCCCCCCGACACAAGCAAGTACTGCTTCAGGGAATTGTGGACCCCTTAGGGAACACCCACACCGACCCCCGTGTGTGCGCGAGTCTCCTGCAGGATCACTGGGCGAATGCAGCCCGCCATTTTCGCCCCTGCCAGGACAGTATGCACTCTCTCCGTAGCTGGATTCAGGCTTGCCCACAGGACATCTTGTGGACCTTAGATGAGGAGCAGTTCGCCAGGCTTTTAGATAGGTCGAGGGATTCGAGTCCTGGTCTTGATGGTATTCCGTACTCTGCTTGGAGATTTGGTGGTCCCAAGGCCCGCGATATTCTTTATGCTCACTATCGTCACATAGTAGACACAGGACTCATCCCAGATCAGTTCAATGATGCCTACCTCGCCTTCTTACCGAAAGGGTCGCTGGAGGCTGACCCGTGCCGCACGCCAGATCATACCCGCCCGCTTGCACTGGGGAACACAGATTGCAAACTGATATGTTCTGCTCTCGCACAGCCGCTGAACATGGTGGCCCGCCGCACCGTCGACGCTGAACAAAGGGGATTTGTGGGTGGTCGAGCTCTGGTTGACAATGTTGTTGCCCTTGACAGCCGATATACCCAATATGCTGCGTATGAGAATGCAGATGCCCCTGGGATGGCCTTCTATGATATAAAACAAGCTTTTCCTAGTATCTCTCATGAATGGATTATGTTTGTGTTGAGTGAGATGGGGATCCCTGATTGGTTTTGTCTTATTGTGAAGAACTTGTACAATAACATGTATATGCACGTGCGTTTCAAGGGACATGTGTATGGCAAGTACAAGGTTGAGCGGGGCATAAAGCAAGGGTGTCCTCTCTCTGGTCTCTTGTTTGCTCTTGGGCTTGACCCTTGGTTTCGAAAAGTCCGCCACGATCTTGGTGCTGTCCGCGCTCATCCTTGTGCATATGCTGACGATCTTGGGATCGCTGCTTTCAATCTCTTCTCGGCGCACGAAATCATGGTGCACCAGTTCGTCTTGTTGGCCAGAAGCGCCGGCCTCTTTTTGCACATTGCGAAGTGCCAGTTCGTGCTGCCGCACGAGCGTGGGGAGAGGTCCTTCCGCCAGGACTGCCGGGCTAAACGTATACGTCTGAATGCAGCCAAAGTAGGTCGGGCTGGTCTCTATCTTGGGGTCTTCCTGGGGATTATTGGTTTGGAGTTGAGTTGGGCTGGGCCCTGTAGGGCCCTGCTTCGTCGGGCCAGGTATGTTAAGAGTCTCTGTTTAGGCCTTGCAGGAAATATACACATGTACAACATTTACTGCCAGCCCGTCCTCCAGCATGTCGCCCAGTTCTACCCGATTACGAGCAGTGTCCTTGCTGCAGAGCGAGAAGCTCTTCAGCAGCTGCCGTCTGCTCCTCGTTTTTCTATCACTAGCCCGATCCTCTACGACTTGAAAAAGTTTGGATTCTCGGCGGAGGCCAGAGCTGTCAGCCCCAATGCGCGTGCTGCTCTGTTCCGTGCTGCTCTTCGTTCTAACGAGTTCTCGAGAGCAAGATCGTTCTTACAAGAGTTCAGATATCATGACGATTGCGAGATCTTCTATATGCGCTACCCTACATATAAGAACTCGGTCTTTATCCATATGCTGAATAACTTCGATGTGCTCCTGTCGATCCCTTCCATCCCTTCCACCCTGGCCAATGACATCCAGAAGAAGATCGTGAAGTCTCTGTCTCGTCTCTTCCCTGCTCCCTCCTCTGCACGTGCGTTGTGTTGTCGTCTCCACTACTGGTGCCCCGTCTCCCCTGAAATATGTGACTTAACAATGAAAAGACTGTATAGGATCGGGCAGAAGCTCGGATCTTGTGTTGCGAGCTCGGTATTGAAAACTCTTTGCAACGCGTGGGCCACGTCCAAACGGTTCCGCGCGGGGCGTGGGAGTTGTAGATATGGTTGCTCTGCAGTTGGAGGGGATGATCTCCTTCATTACATTTCCTGCCCCATGCTGCTCCCCTGTGTCCGTGAGTGTCTTCCCCAGCTCCCTCCTGATTGGGGTGCCGACCCTGTCCCTTCGTTTGTCCTCGGCCTCCTTCCCATTGTCGACTCTGATAGTCTAGTTTGCATTGCATTAGCCATCGATGGGCTCCACGCGACCTTTAACTCCCACCGGGCCTCAGGTTCGTATGGGCCCAGGTCCGCGCGTCGTGCCCTTGCCGCCCGCCTTCGTGCCCAAGCGGTGCGGTGTGCAGGCGCCCGTGCTGTTGTGCGAGGCATACGAGGCCTGGGGGGGGAGACCTGACTCTTTGTCCTCTTCTCGCTGTCTTGCCCGCTTGCCCTCGTCTCGTCTCTCTTCTTCCAGGCCGAGTCATGTATCATCATCATCATCATCATCATCATCATCATCATCATCATCATCCCCCTCCTCCTCCTCCTCCTCCTCCTCCTCCTCCTCATCCCCCTCCTCATCCTGCTCATCCCCTCCCCCTCCTCCTCCTCCTCCTCCTCCTCCTCCTCCTCCTCCTCCTCCTCCTCCTCCTCCTCCTCCTCCTCCTCCTCCTCCTCCTCCTCCTCGTCGTTTCTCTTCGTCCCTGTCCTCCTTCCTTGCCTCGGAGCGCGCCGTGCGCCGGACCCCCGCCCGGCAGAGGGGCCGCGCCTGGGAGTTTTGCTTCCCGCGGACGGTCGATGCGCCTTTCCACTTACCCCTCACCCCCCTGCTTCTCCTCCCGCCCTCCCCCCCCCTCTCCTCCTCCTGTTCCTCCTCCTGCTCCTCCTCCTCCTCCTCCTCCTCCTCCTCCTCCTCCTCCTCCTCCTCCTCCTCCAGGCCCGAGCCGTGTCCGCCCTCATGTTGGCCCGTTTCAGCGCACGCTCCGTCCTGGCACGGGCCCAGGCGCGCCACCTGCTATAGTCACAGGCGGCCGCGGCAATGGCCTCGCGGCCGCCCCCATCGGAGGCCTGCGCCCGCATCGCCTTCCCCGGTCATGCTGGGGGCGTCCCATGGCCGTCCTCCGAGGAGAGGAGGAGGAGGAGGAGGAGGAGGAGGAGGAGGAGGAGAGGAGGAGGAGGAGGAGGAGAGGGAGGAGGAGGGGGAGGAGAGAGGGAGGAGGAGAGGGGGAGGGAGGAGGAGGAGATGAGGAGGAGAGGAGGGAGGAGGAGGAGGAGGAGGAGGAGGAGGAGGAGGAGGAGGAGGAGGAGGAGGAGGAGGAGGAGAGGAGGAGGAGGAGGAGGAGGAGGAGGAGGAGGAGGAGGAGGAGGAGGAGGAGGAGGAGGAGGAGGAGGAGAGGGAGGAGAGGGAGGGAGGAGGAGGAACGCTATAAGCATAAACTTCTGGCGCTCCGCTCGGATTTCTTGGATCTGCGCTTGGCCCCCCCTGGCGGCACCTCGCGCCAGGGAGGGGGGTCCGGCGTAGATCCACGACATCCGCGCGGGACGCCAAAAGTTGAGACTCTGCCGTTGTTTCTGCGCTTCGCCTCCTTCAATCATGTTGGAGGCGTCCCAGCGCCGTCCTGCTGTTCTGCTCCCTGTCCGTCAAAGAACTGCTTGGGCTGAAGAGTTGCTCTTCGGGGAAAGCCCCAGGGACCGGGACCCGCTTCCCTCATCAGAGAACGGCGACACCACCACCACCAACACCACCACCAACACCACCACCACCACCACCACCACCACCACCACCACCACCACCACCACCACCACCACCACCACTACCACCAGGGGAGCCATCTCCAGCGGGGGGATTTGCGATGCCTCCCCGGGCTGGGGATTGGGGGGCGCCTCGGGCCAGGGGTGGGACACACCACCAGGCGGACTCTCCCTGATGGTGCTGTCGCATTTTCTTGCTCCTGCCTCAGGAGCTGTCTCCCTCATCCACGGGGTCTGCGTCGGGCCCCCTTCTTCGGAGGTTGACCAGAACCCCACCGTGCCAAGTCGATCAGCGAACTACCCTTGTTCGGTTCCCGAGTTCTCGAGGGGGCGCCGCAACCGCCGTTCTGCGGGCCCGCAACCGCCGGATCTGGTCCCGGGTCGTGTTCGCCAAAGGGTGTTCTGCTCAATGGGATTTGTGTCCAAGACGGGCCCCTCCCCCTCCTTGGCGGAGGCTCTTGGAGGGCGTGGAGGTTTTGGAGAAGTCAGGAGGGGGCGGGAGGAAGAGGAGGGGGAGGGGGAGAAGGAGGGTCGAAGAAGACATGCTTGCGGAGGTGCTCGCGGATTTCTCTTGGATCTGCGCTGCACCCCAAAGGAATCCGCGCGCAGCCAAGAAGTTCGCACACATTTTCGGAACTTCATTCCCAACCATTCTGTGATTTTGGTTCATCGTTTTGAAGAGACAGCGCCCCGCGCCCCGCGTTCCTTGTATGCTTTGTGGTAGCTACTCGCAAGAAAAAGTGCGTAATCTGGCAGGGAAGTGTGATCCAAGGGAACACAGTGCAGGTGCCAGTGTGCTGAGTAGGCTCAAGAGAGGCCTCCACCCTCAGCGCAATGTCGCAGTGTCTTGTGCAGCTCCTGAACGGCCAGCGTCAGGAGCTGCTGTGCGTGCTTTCGCCACCGCTTCGCGGGTTCATCTCATTCCGCCGTGCTCGTCTCATCTGGCGTGTCTGGCCCCTCTGAGGGCTAGGATTGCTGAGAGAGAAACGGGGGTGCGGGTGGACTTCGGGAGCGGTGGGCGGGGAGGACAGCAAGAAGCTCCGAGAGTGCAGGGCCCTGCACCAGGAGACGAAGTTTTTGATGCTTTGTTCGAGGCTGAGGAAGCCGAAGCCCGTGTTTTGTTGGAGGGCAGGGAGCCTGGTGCAATGACAGAGGCTCCCGTGCGTGGCACCTCCGCTGTGCCTGACCCCCGTGTGGGGATGAGGGGCATGTCCGACTTGCCGTTGCGCGAGGAAGATGAAGCTCCTCTGACTCCGAACCGCCTTGTGGTCTCGGAGTCGGGGTCAGACTAATGCCTGGGGGACTGGCGAGTGGCCAAGGGACATCCTCCCTCCTTGGGAAATGAGTCCGTGGTCGATTGCTGGTCCCTTTGCTGGCGTTGTTCTGAAGGGCTGCCCAGGCAGCCGCTTACAAACTGGTCTGGCCGCCGTGGCCCCCCCCAAAAAAAAACGCCCCGCGTTCCTTTTCCTCCTCGCCCCTCCTCCCTCCCTTCCTTTGTGCACCCAGTACAGCGTGTCGTGGCCCCATAGGGAAATTCACCGAAGGCCCCAGTGGCTGTGACCACATGCGCCTCCGCCACCCATCTCAGCACAACCCTCACACGTTTCGTGGCCCCATGGGGAACTCCACCGAAGGCCCAAGAGGCTGTGACCACATGCGTCCCCGCCACCCATTTCGGCACACCCCTCACAAGTTTCGTGTCCCCATAAGGAGCTCCACCGAAGGCCCCAGTGGCTGTGACCACATGCGTCCCCGCCACCCATTTCGGCACACTCCTCACACGCTTCGTGGCCCCATGGGGAGCTCCACCGAAGGCCCCAGAGGCTGTGACCACATGCGCCTCCGCCACCCATCTCAGCACAACCCTCACACGTTTCGTGGCCACATGGGGAGCTCCACCGAAGGCCCCAGTGGCTGTGACCACATGCGTCCCCCACACCCATCTTTGCACACAGCATTCACACGTTTCGTGGCCCCATGGGGAACTCCACCGAAGGCCCAAGAGGCTGTGACCACATGCGTCCCCGCCACCCATTTCGGCACAGCACTCACACGTTTCGTGGCCCCATAAGGAGCTCCACCGAAGGCCCCAGTGGCTGTGACCACATGCGTCCCCGCCACCCATTTCGGCACACTCCTCACACGTTTCGTGGCCCCATGGGGAGCTCCACCGAAGGCCCCAGAGGCTGTGACCACATGCGCCTCCGCCACCCATCTCAGCACAACCCTCACACGTTTCGTGGCCACATGGGGAGCTCCACCGAAGGCCCCAGTGGCTGTGACCACATGCGTCCCCACCACCCATCTTGGCACAGCACTCACACGTTTCGTGGCCCCATGGGGAACTCCACCGAAGGCCCCAGTGGCTGTGACCACATGCGTCCCCGCCACCCATTTCGGCACACCCCTCACACGTTTCGTGGAGTTCCACCTAAGAGGATTCGCACCACTGCGGTACTCACAACTGCATCTGTCTATGTCCTTGGCCAGGATCATGTTTATGTTTTCGTCTGTTCTCCGAGCGATGGCCCCCCGCAGTATCAGGGCCAGTGGCACTCGAAGGTGGATAGATCCCAAGAGGTGTCCAGGACTTCCTGCCTACCCACACTCAGCCGACGCATATTATACTGATACGCGGTAGGCGCCAGAGGCCAGTCGAGACAAGTGTGGCCCTCACTGGAGCTTCTCGTCCGTAGGGTTCTCATCGCCATGGCTGGACCCGCCTTGAAAAACATGTCAGAGTGAACTCCAAAAGGGGTCTGGGCACCGATTTGAGCGGATTTGGCATGAGCGGGAGAAACCCCGTTGTCTCACTTAGCGCCCCTCCGAGGATTGGATCGTTTTTGGATGCCGGTATGTTTTCTCCCTTTCCCCTTTCCCTCTCTTCAACTCGTCGTCGTCGCCATCTCTTTCTTCCTGGGACTGACGCCTGTCGGCCGAGGATTCCGCGGCGGAGGCAACTCGGCGGTACAAGGAGCGGCTTGCCCTGGTCAGTCGGAGCGGAAGGAGCAGAGATGAAGGGAGGGAGGGGAGGGGAGGGGTGGACGGAGGAGAGCGGGGAGGTGAGAGGCGACGGAGATGGGAAGGAGAAGGCTGTGGGCCGTCCTGACCTCCCAGAAGCCCTCCCTGGGGATACCGGGAGGGTGGAGTCCCTCGAGTCACCTTCATAGGAGGGAGGCCGCGACCGCCGCGCGAGGGGCATGCGGCATTCTGACCAGACAGCTTAGGCGTCCGCCTCGTCTAGCTACGCGTGGTCCCCCGCTTCTGGAGATTTTTGTTCCACCATTCGCTCCAGGGCTTCTCCCTGACGCGTCGCACCCAGTCGAGCCCACCAGCGCCCAGGGGGGCACCCCACCCCACGGTCGTGACGTCCCCCTCTGCTCGCGCACACTTCCTGCTCGTGTGTGCAAGTCTGCCACCGTGCCTGAGAATTGTGGGCCGCGGGCCTCCAGGCTGTTCGTTGGGATGTCGCGGGGGGCCTCTCGGGGGGGGCCGTTTCGACGCCTCTTTGGGGCCGCTTCGGGGCCCTCTTCGGGCGTCTCCGTCTCCGGGGCCTCTTGGGGTTCTCTTGAGGAGGAGGAGGAGGAGGAGGAGGAGGAGGAGGAGGAGGAGGAGGAGGAGGAGGAGGAGGAGGAAGGAAAGGAGGAGGAGGAGGGGGAGAGAGCAGGAGGAGAGAGGAGGAGAGAGGAGAGGAGAAGAGGAGAGAGGGGGGGGGGGGAGGGGAGGGGGGTGGGGGGGGTGGGGGGGGGGGGGGGGGGGGGGGGGGGGGGGGGGGGGGGGGGAGGAGAGGAGGAGGAGGAGGAGGGGGACTGTTGGGGGCCTCAGGAGGGCCTGTCGGGCGGAGGACTCGGATTGTTGGTTTGTGTTCCCCTTCCGGGCCCTTCGTGGGACTGGTTTGGGGCCTTGTTGGGCCGTCCCGGGCGCCTGCGGGGCCGTCTTGGAGCCCTCTTGGGCCGTGTTGGGGCCCTCCCTGGGGCCTCTGGGGCCGTCTTGGGGCGGTCCTGGGGGCCTCCTGGGCCGTCTTGGAGCGTCGGGAGCTCGAAAAGTCGAGGACACAAAACTCGTTGAACAATTGCTGGGGCAACTCAGTGACTTTGGCCTCTCGGTGCCCTCTTTGGGAAGGCTCTTGGGGCTCTCTTGGGTGTCTCGGAGGCCTCTTGGGCCGTCTTGTGACCATCTTGGGCGCGGAGTGATCTCTCGGCGACTCGGTGCCCTCTTGGACCGTCCTGGGGGCTTCTTGGTGCCCTCTTGGCTCGTGTTGCTCTTGGGCCCGAGTAAGAATCATGCGCCGAGCCGCGAAGAATGCAAGAGGGCACGCAGGGAGCCTGCATACTTGAGCATTTGGGGCCCAGGCCCTTAAAAAGACTCCCCAGGAGTGAGGACTGAGGCTTACTGCATTAGGCATAGAAGGCGAGGACACGCTTACTCCGTGCCCAGCGGTACGATGGCGGATTTGACTTGTTGGGGGGCACTCCTGGGTACGAGGGGGCGCCACGCTCCTCCTCGCTATCCTCACATTCTCCACCTGGTCCTTGTCATCGCCTCCTCGTCGCCCTCGCCTTCATTTTTGTTTTCTTCGCCTAATAAGCCCATTGGACTAAACGCTTCCCGTTCTTGTCCGATCAGCTTTGAGTCGTTTGGGAGCATTCCTGGGTACGAGGGGGCGCCTCGCATGTAAAGCCTTGGAATAGGGGCCGCTTTGGCTTCGGAAGGTATTGGGTGGCTCCTTCTTTGTTGTGTTTCGCTCCTTCGCCTTTGGCCAACGAGCTGCTGGGCTTTTCTTGCTGTTCGGCGCGCGCGCGAGGATAATCAGTTGTTATTCAGTTGGGCCGGCTAAACGAAGGAACGGGACGAGAAAGGGGGTTCTGTCTTAAGTCGCAGCGAGGTTGGATGTTCTGGAAACACGTCGAGCAGCTCCCTTGCGTTCCTTCTTTTGGCAGGGCACTTGTTGTCGGCATTGCCATCTTGCCGCCGCGTTTGGTTTGTGGGTCACGGGCGAGCCATTCCTTCTTTTTCCGATGATGTGTGCTCGTCCGTTGCTGTTTTTCCTTCAAGCCGTGGTCTGGAGGAGGACGGATGATGGAGGTTGGAGGGGGAGGAAGAGGAGGAGGAGGAGGAGGAGGAGGAGGAGGAGGGAGGGAGTGAGAGAGGAGGAGGAGGAGGGAGAGGAGTGGAGGAGGATGGAGGGGGAGAGGGAGGGAGGGAGGAGGGTGAGGAGGAGGAGGGGAGCAAGAAAGATGAGGAGGAGGAGGGGAGGATGAGGAGGCGGAGGGGGAGGGGAGGAGGAAGAGGAGAGGAGGAGGAGGAGGAGGAGGAGACGAGACGGGGGTGGGATCAAGGGGCGGACGCTTCCGGCCCCCCCATCGCCCACCCGATCCTCGCTGGGGGGGAACGGTGGGGCCCACACCCGCCCGAGCTGGGCGGGTCCGCCCCTGGGTGCCAGTCTCCCCCTCCTCCTCTCTCTCCTCCTCCTCCTCCTCCCTCCTACTCCTCCCTCCCTCCTCCTCCCCCTCCGCGTCCTCCTCCTGCTCCTCCCCCTCCTCCCTCCTTCCCCTCCGCATCCCCTCCCTCTCCTCCTCCTCCTCCCCCTCCTCCCCCTCCTCCTTCCTCCTCCTCCTCCTCCTCCTGCTCCTCCCCTCTCCTCCTCTCCCCGAATGGGGGCCGCAGCCCGCGGGGCCTCCACGCGCATGTGCGCGCACTGCCACGTAAGAGTGACCCTTCGTCGGGGCGACCCCTCAAAGCAGGGCCAGGATCGGGATCGATCGCTCCTCCTCCTCCTCCTCCCTCCTCATCCTCCTCTCCTCTCCTCCTCCTCCTACTCCTCCTCCTCCCCCTCCTCCTCCCCCTCTCCTCCTCCCCCTCCTCCTCCTCACCCCTCCTTCCTCCTCCTCCCCCCCCTCCCCCTCCTGCGCCTCCTCCTCCTCCTCCTCCTCCTCCTCCTCCTCCTCCTCCCGGAGCGCTCCCAGAGCGTTCCGGAACGCTCTGGAGCGGCCGCGGCGCCCAATACATCCTCCAAACCCGCCGATTCTCAGAGATTTCGAGTTGTCCTGATCCCGATCCGATTCCGATTTCGAGTTATCCCGGCTTGAATCAGGAACACTTGCTTTTCAAAAGGGGCTCGGTCGTTCCTTAGGCTTGCATGCGTTGTTTGCAGTGCCTTACGCGTTATTTGTTATTTTTCGTTCCTTATGCGTTATTCCTTGGGATAAAAAGGGGGCTTCGTTCCTCATTTATCGTTCCTTAGGTCAGGCCGATGACTGTAAGAGTGACCCTTCGTCGGGGCGACCCCTGGTGCGGGCCCACTGGGGCCCCCCCGACCGCCGAACGCGAGGCGGTGGCAGCGCCCTGCGCGCTCGTGTTTGTTTGGTCCCCCCGCGGCCTCCCAGAAAGCCGCGCGCCAGGGGTCACCCTTACGTACCCAGGGTCACTTCTTGCGTGTAGCCGAAGACGGACTGGCATTCAGTCGGGCGTGTCCCCCTACAGGGGGATTCTGGACGAACAATCAAAGATGGTCAGAACAGATTCCAGCAGTGTTCCAAAATGGCCCGGGAATCGTCCACCCACGATTTTTGGACTATTTTTGAACATTCCCGCTGTAGAGGGGCACGCCCGACTTACCGTACATCGACAAAATGTTGCACCACGTTTGCTGGGCATTCGCACCTGTACTGCATTGCTCTTGCCCCCCCCTTTCCCCCCGATCTCAATATTGGGTGCATGGCGAAGAGCCCCTGTTCCGCCCGGGAGCTCCCGACAAAATGGTGCACCACCGAGCTGTTTCGACCAGCCCGGGTCCGAACCCAATATGAAATTCGGGGGGGAGGGGGTCGGCGACAACAAAGGGTGTGGTTACGCCGGGGTGTGGTTTGCGATCGGCCCCGTTGGGGCCTGGGGGCACGACACTGTCATCGTCGGGCCTCCTCGGGGCGCGGCGGAGAGCTCGATCGAGGCCCCCGCCCGCCCCCCAGGGTGTCCCCCAGGGTGCCGGTTGTAAACCACACCTTGTGCAAACCACACCCTTCGGAGTCGCCGAAGGGGGGGGGGGGGGAAACACACGATTGATATAACAGCGATGCGATTTATTATCAGCGCCAGGTGGCGCAACATTTTGTCGATGTAACGTCGTCGTCTCGGCTCGGCCGCATCGGCTCCGACAGCAGCTTCGCTCACCGACACCTGTCGGCCTCTGCTCGGCGGCACGCTCCTCCGCCGCGCCCTCCTCCTCCTCCTGCTCCTCCTCCTCGTCCTCCTCCTCCTCCTCCTCCTCCTCCTCCTCCTCCTCCTACCGTAACACTGGCAGAGCCCCCTGCTCCGAGAGCCTCGGCCCTCGCCGCGCCGGCGGAAGCACGCCCGCGCCCGCCGCCGGCCCGCAGGCAGGCCGCGCAGGGGGCCTCTCACGCCAGGCCTCTCCCAGACTCGAGGCGGGCCTGTCCCTCGACGGGAGGAGTACTCAGAAATGGTCCAAGAATAGTCAGGGGACGATTTAAAGAAAAGACGATGATGCTGGGTGTTGGATCATGTCTAATGTTTCGACCACGTTTGATTCGAGCACCCGATTCCCTCAGTTTTCCCCGCGCTGATTCTGGCCCCCAGAAGTCTGTGCCCCACCAGCAGGCGAGTGAGACTGTAAGAAAAAATGATCATGTTGGGCGTTTGAGTATTTCTAGTTGTTCGACCATGTTTGATTAGAGCACCCGATTCCCTCTGCGCTGATTCTGGCCCCCAGAAGTCTGTACCCCACCGGCAGGCGAGGGAGCCTGTCCCGCTCCAGTTTCGGCAGGTCGCCGAAAAACCGACCGACGTGCAGCGCGCTGGGCGCCGCGCCGACGCGGCGGCGAGCCACCCCTCCTCCTCCTCCTCCTCCGCTCCTCCTCTCCTCCTCCTCCCCTCCTCCTCTCCTCCTCCTCCTCTCCCCTCCTCCTCCTCCTCCTCCTCCTCCTCCTCCTCCTCCTTCCTCCTCCTCCTCCTCCTCCTCCTCCTCCCCCTCCTCCCCTTCCCCCTTCGGGCCACCCCGACACCGGGCGTTTTCGCCCGGTGTCGGGCCCCGGGACCACCACAGATCGATGCGGCTCGAAAAGGGCTAGGCCTCCCAGATGCGGGGGCGGCAAAGAGGGGGGTGATGACTAGGGGTGTGTGGATATCCCAGACCCCCTCGAGTAGTGAAAAAAATCACGACGGGAGGTTTTTCCGACTTTTCGGCCTCCGGGGGCCCTCGCCGGGCCTCGGGAGCGTCAAAAAACGACTCAGGATGCAAAGCCGGTCATGGGGAACGGGTCGGGACCTCTGGGGGTCGACGTAATGAAAAAATCATTACGTCGGGGGTCTGGGATCATGGCGGGGGCCGTGATATTTCCCCAGGGGGGTGATGACTAGGGGGGGGTGGATATCATGGCGGGGGCCACGATATTTCCCCAGATTTCATGGCGCCTCTTCTTATTTCGTTGCGTCCCTGGCCCCCCCGCTGGGCCGCGCACATGCCGCCGGTCATGATTTGCACCCCCCACCTCTTGGACACCCCCCTCTTGGCCGCTCCCGACACAGATCGATCCGGCTCGAAAAAAATTAGGCCTCCTAGATGGGGTCCGAGCGGATGGGGTCGGAGGATCGCAGGCGGCTCGCCCGGCTTTCTCCACGCTGGCGTCGCCGATGCATCGCCGACGTCGGCGATGCGTCGCCGGTGCGTCCCCGCCGCATCGCCGATGCACCGGCGATGCGGCGCGATGCTGCGACCCCATCTGCTCCGATCCCATCCAGGAGGCCTCTACTCACAGATCGGTCCGGCTCGAAGACTGCAGCGAAGGATTGCAAAAAAACCAAGGATTGCAAAAAAACCAAGGATTGCAAAAAAACCTAGGGTTTTTTTGCAATCCTTCGAAGAAGATGGGGTCCAGGGTTCAGGTCGTGGCCAGTCGCGGTGTTGCTTTTTTTTTTCGCAGCGTCGGGGCTCGCGGTGGGCGCGTGCGTTCGGGGCGGAAGGCAGGCCACCCGCGGCCCCGAGGCGGCCGGTGTCGAGCGCTCGGCGCTGTCGGACAGCCGCGGGTGCTCGAGAGGCGGGCGATCGGCGCGGCGCCAGGCACCAACTCCGAAGTCGCCGCGCGCACGAACGCGCCGTGGGCCGTGAGGTTTCCAGGGGCGGGGGGGGCGCGCACGGAGAGCCCCGGGAGGGCTGCAGGCAAGGGGTGCGTGCACATCGCGTTGGGCACCGGGCTCTGCGCTGCTGCTGCTGTTCCGTTCGACAGGGGGACGGCGGCAGCTCAAGAAGGAGCCCGCGAGGAACCCGCAGTGCCAGCCGAGGCTCTCTTCTCGGGGCCTCGACGTCAACGCAGCACCTCATCGATCCAGGGGTCATTTGGACCCCGCTGGCTCGATTCCATTCGCTTCCCGCGGCTGCCTATTCGAGCGGACTCGATGTGGGGAGTCCGACTCGCACTTCCGATTTCGAATTCGCCCGATCCGACTCCTGCCGATCCGATGTGTCAGCCGACTTTTGCCGACGTCCTGCCGATCCGTCTTCCGCTTCGCTTCGATCGGCGGTTCTGTCCGAGACCATCTTGGGCCCATGATCGGCGCATGGGCACCCCTGGCCTGGCCAGGCCAGGCCAGCGTTTTCCAAATCCCTTATTAATCGTCCTCCGGGTCGGGCTTTTTAAGGCGCCTTTTTTGTAACGGGGGTGATCTGGTTTATCGGGGCGCTTTCTTTGGATTGGAGCTTGGGGGGTTCGGTTTATGAAGGCGCCTCGTCGAAGAGGGGGGTCCAGAAAATTAGGTCGCATTTAGAGGGGGGTCTCGTTTTTCAGGGGGAGTCGATTAATGAGGGATTCGGAGTAGACGCCGACTGGCGAGGGCACCCAGCGGCCGAAAACAGCGGGAAGCAGTCCGTCATTCCTCCTCCCACGACGCGAGGAGAGCTGGTCAGCGGCACGCCCGGGGGGGAGAGAGAAGGAGAAGGACTCCTCAGAAGGCTCAGAAAGTCCCCCGGCCTTCTGAGAAGTTTTCGAAGCCTTCCCCGAAGACGCGGAAAACTTCTCTCAGATGGCGCGATCGGCTGCGTTTCCGAACAGGCTCACTTTGCCACGTCTGTGCTGCCAGCCGAACCTGCTCGTTTTCGCGCGTTGTTTGCGCGGCGCTCACGAAACAGCGATGCGTTTTTGATGCCCCGTTCGGCGACGCGACCGTGCCAGTTAAAAAGAATCTAGAAGTGTGACTACATAGCAAAAGTCTCGCGTAAACGCGCACTACGGGCGAAGGAGGGCCAGCAGCAACGATGGGGGGGCGATCGTGGAGCGGAGAATGGGCAAGAAATACAGAGCGACTGGTTGCGCGGGGGTGGTTTTTCTGTGGAGTGCACTGCAACGCAATTCAGGAGGGAAAAAAGCACACAGACACAATTAATCCTCGATTCCCAGGAAAATATGGGAAAATATGAGAATTGGGGGGGAAGACAAAAACCCAGAAAATATGGGAAACTATGGGGACTATTGTTATTTGTGTGTATTTATTTGTGTGTCCTAACTTCCCTTTAGCAATGTCGATCACAGAAGCGCTCTGGTGACCGCGCGCTCTCAATGAACGCATGCGCAAGAGCGGACGTGGGACGCGCTGCACGAGCAGCCTGGAGGAGGAGGCGGGAGAAGAGGGAGTGGTCGAGCAAATGGCGACTACGTAGAAAGGGGACGACTGACAAGGAAGGAGGCATGCATGCAGTCCTCGGAGGAGTCAGGAGCCTGGGAAGGGGGAGGACAATGAGACGGAGGAGGCGGTAAATGGGATAGAGCAGGGAGGTCATCGTGCAGTGCTTCTCACGGCCGCTCTTGTGTTTACGTTGCCCAAGGGCGCGCGGTCATGAGAGCGCTTCTATCAGATCGACATTGCGCTGCAGTTGGCTCCAGAGACAAACGCTTTTGCTACTGACGCTTCGCGTATCCTCATCAGCCCATCCAGAAGCGATGCCCAGTCGATTTGCGGAGATCAGGGACGTGTAAGATCATGCAGTGAAGTGAAAGAGGGAGCAGCCGCTATCTTTGGAAAGAAAAGGACAGTAGGGAGGAGGATGATGAGGACGAATAATAACATGAGGAAGCGGAGGAGGTCAAGGACGAGGCGGTGGGAGGAATAGGAGGAAGAGGAAGAGTAGGTGGGAGGAAGAAGAGGACGACGACGACGACGACGGCGATGACGATGACGAAGACGACGACGGCGACGACAAAGACAACGACAACGACAATGTCGACGACTCAACCATAAAGGCCTTCGCGGATTTTTCGCTCCGCGAGCTCTTGGAGGCCTTTTGGAGATTGCTCGGAGCCGCGTTGCAGCAATTTTGGAAGCCTGCTTGGCCCTCTTGGGGCCCTCTGGAGCCTCTTGGGGCTCTGAGGGGGGGGGGGGGGCCGGCGTCCCCTCGGGGCGACCGCGGGCCCCGTGGCTCAAAAGAGAGAGTGGGGGGGCGGAGGGGGAGGAGGAGAGGAGGAGGAGGAGGAGGAGGAGGAGGAGGAGGAGGAGGAGGAGGAGGAGGAGGAGGAGGAGGAGGAGGAGGAGGAGGGGTGGGGGGGCGGAAATCCCACCCCTCGGAGGCAGAAGCGCTGCATCATGGGGCGCTCTGGGGGGCAGTCGTGGGGCCCTGGGCCCCTCTTGCGGCTCTCTTGGGCAATCTTGTACGGCAGGTTCGTGTCGTGCCGACCGGCGGCGACCCCAGCGTGGGCGTTCCAGGTTGAACGCCGCCGGCGACCCAGAAGCGATCGATGTGGAACGATTGGACGTTGCGGAGACGGCCGATCGTTCAAGGTTGAACGATCCCTGCGGTGTCAAAAACCAACGCTGGGGTCGGCACGACACGAACCCGCCGCAGCCATCTTGAGGCCCGTGTGGACCCTTGTGAGACGCGCGATCTGAGCGACGCGTCGGCGGCCAGTCCTACGCCGCGGCCTGAGCCGGGCCCCAGGCGCTCAGAACAAAAGCAGCAACACCTGAAACAAAGAGCATGACCATGCGAATCCATACGTAGCACCCCTCAGATGCGGATACAAGTGAGGAAGCGGTGGGGACGTCGACAGTTTGCGAGACTCTGGAGAAGCCCGCCGCAGGCGCCAAAGTTTCACAAGTTATACAACGAGACCGCCACAGGAGTCGATTTTTTCGTTAAACCAAGGTGGGTAGGTCGCGGGTGGGTCGCGGGTGGGTCGCGGTTGGGTCGCAAGTGGGTCGCGGGTGGGTCGCGGGGTGGGTCGCGGGTCGGTCGCGGGTGGGTCGTGGGTGGGTCGCGGGGTGGGTTGCGGGGGGCCGCGGGGTGGGTCGCGGGTGGGTCGCGGGGTGTGTCGCGGGTGGGGTCGCGGGGCGGGTCGCTGGGTGGGTTGCGGATGGGTCGCGGGTGGGACGACGAAGACAACAAACAAACAACAACAACAACAACAACAACAACAACAACAACAACAACAACAACAACAACAACAACAACAACAACAACAAACAACAACAACAACAACAACAACAACAACAACAACAACAACAACAACAACAACAACAACAACAACAACAACAACAACAGCAACAACAACAACGACGACGACGACGACGACGACGACGACAACGACAACGACAACGACAACGACAACGACAACGACAACAGCAATAACAACAGCAACAGCAACAGCAACAACAGCAACAGCAACAACAACACCAACAACACCACCAACAACAACACCAACAACACCAACACCACCAACAACACAACAACACCAACAACAACAACAATCACAGCAACACCAGGAGCAACAACAACAACAACAACGACACCAACAACGACAACACCACCAGTAGCAACACCAACAACAACGCAACACACATAATCCTCACCACGGATCCCCACTTCAGCCACTAACCCAGGGACAATGAATGACCGTCCGGCCCCCTCACTCTGATACGTAGCACCCCTCAGATGCGGATAAGAGTGAGGAAGCGGTGGGGACGTCGGCAGTTATAGCCCGCCGCAGGCGCCGATTTTTTCGTTAAACGAATGTGGGTAGGTCGCGGGTGGGTCGCGGGTGGGTCGCGGGTGGGTCGTGGGTGGGTCGCGGGTGTAGAGGGCAGAGAAGAATCCACCCCATTACAGTCATCCCGACAAGAGAAGCCGTTTAGTAAAAGCACACAAGGCATGAATCGAACAGGGCAGGGCTGTTTAGTCAACGCCCAGGGCCGTGAAGTAAACGTCATTGTCGGGTCCGGGTTGTTTTTCCTCCCTTGAGGGTGGGTCGCGGGGTGGGTCGCGGGTGGGTCGCGGGGTGGGGTGATGGTGGGTCGCGGATGGGTCGCGAATGGGTCGCGGGGTGGGTCGCGGGTGGGTCGCGGGGCGGGTCGCGGGTGGGTCGCGGGCGGGTCGTGGGTGGGTTGCGGGGTGGGTTGCGGGGGGGTCGCGGGGGAGGTCGCGGGTGGGTCGCGGGTGGGACGACGACAACAAACAACAACAACAACAACAACAACAACAACAACAACAACAACAACAACAACAATCATTTTACCCGAACGCTCAGTGTTCTCCCCAGTGCCAGGGTTTTCTTGCGACACCAGCCAATACCCCCACTTCGTGGGGGGGCCGTTCAAGCTCTACCAAATATCCAAACGACTCTTCGAGACCACCCACACCCAGCTTCCCGCCCTATGACGTTGGGACACTTCACTTCGTGGCGTGCGGACGACCCTGGCTACTACACTGGCGTGGGGTACACACCCACAGAGGTTGATCACATCTGTTACATATGATGTGGTACACGGTACACGTGAGATGGTACGCAGTGCCAAGATAGTTGGTCACATTTTTGGGGCAAATTCGTGGGGATGCGATTACAGAAGTACATGTGTTACACTGATGTTATACAGTCCCAAGGATGACGCATGCATTGCTCATAGACTCATGGCGCTATGATCCTAACTCTCAGTGCCCAACGCGCGCGTGCACAGCCAGACGGAGGGAGAGAAACACATGTATACAAGGTTCGTGACATACGCACGGTCCACCATGTTGTAAACGATCGCATGCACGGTAAGTTCTGAAATTATACGTATGTACAAGCAGACATGCGAGGGAGAAAGGGAGATGGCCATCGACAGTTCCAATACGGCTCCAAGGCGGAAGAGGGGGAGGAGGAGCAGGACAAGGAGGAAAGGAGAGAAGCGAGAAAGGAAGAACGCAGACGGCGCGGCTCTGGACACAAAGGGGTGCCATACTTTCTCCTGCTTTCGCAAACAGGTCCAGTCACACGTAGGGGTATACTCAACCGAATGGTCTTCGCATCCAGAAGCATACTAAAGGCGCGACGCATCGTCGTCTGCGATGGCGCGGAGCGGGCGCGTGGGTGCCCGGCTGCCTGGCTGATGCACGTGCGGGCCTGGCTGATACCCGTGCGGTCCCAGATGCCCAATGAGATTGCCGATACGCCTGCTGGCGGGAAGGCCGGTGCTTGCATACGGCAGTGCTACCGCGAGCACGTTGTGGACCTGCGGTGGCAAGGCCTGGTAATCGAGCATGTTCGGAAGCTCGTCGCTCTGACCATACGACCGCCATACGGGCAACCACCACCACTGGTCTTGACGCGGATACGTGATCTCTGTGCCGACCTCAGGGGATACGTTCCAAAGGGCCATTTTCTGCGGGTCCGTACCCATGAAGGCCGCGTGGTACGCAATGAATACGTCCAAGGTGGCCAGGGCCCTGTAGGAGAGGCCGGATACGATCTCCGCATGAATGGGAATAGCGAGCTGACCGAGCAAATACGTTCTCCATACCAGGTCTCCAAGTGGCCAGCGTTCTGCACTTGGACAAGCGTGTCTTTGGATGAATACTGCAGTAGCCACGCCGTTGCGACCCTATCTGGCACATACAGTGGTGGATCCAACTGTCGGAGCGCCCGGCATAATTTGAAAGCGGTATTATACTCAATGCCCAGGTGGCGGATGGCAGAGCCGTGCTGCTCCTCCAGCTCCTTGGCGCTAGAAATACTGACCGTGCCAGTCACAACCCGATACTTGGCCCACCAAGTCTTGCACGCCTGGTGACTAGCATTGATACCCTTTGCCCGGAGCGCCTGATGCAAATAATACGCACTCTCGCAGTCGGCCAAGGGAGGCCGCGACAGCTCAGGGCCATACTGCTCGTGAAGGTCTTTCGCCGTCAAAGCCATGATCCAAGAACACAGGCGATACCTTGATCCGAGATGGCTACGGATATGTGCGTCAGCAGTCGGGGGCCTTCCTGGGGCCGCTTGGGGTCCTCTTGGGGAAGGGGGGAAGCCTCCTGGCGCGGTTTGGGGTCCACTTGAGAGCCTTTGGGGGGCTCCTTGGAACCATCTTGGGGCCTCTTGGGGGCTTATTGGACCCTCACGGCGGACTCTTGGGGCCTCTAGAACGCCTCCTGGGGCCATCTTGGGGGTCTCTTGGAGCCACCTTGGAGCCTCTCTGGAACCTCTTGGGGGCCTCTTGGAGTCCTCTTGAAGCCTCTTGGGACCATCTTGGGCGCCTCTTTGGGCCTCATGGACGCCTCTTGGGGCCATCTTGCGCGCCTGTTGGGGCCATCTTGGGTTTTAAAGATTCATCAAGAGACCGCGAATGGATTTCGAGATTTTTCGGATGAGAAAGTAGTGCGTTTTCATATGTTTTCTGAACATCGCATCTTGAAATTATTGAAAACCCATTGTGTTTGGCAGGATTTCGACATGCGCGCGCGGCGGCCGCGCGCATGTGCACTTCGTCTCATTTTTTGCAAGGGATGGTGGCCCTCGCAGGCGCGCAACCGTTGTTGGAGAAGTTCAAAGCACCTGAAGAAGTAGCACGCAAAGACCCTTTTGACAGAAATGTTTAAAAAGTGGTGTGTTTCCTATGAATCCGCAAGAGCGCGCGGAAGGACATTTTGACAATTTTTTCTTAAAAAACCATTGGGTTTTTGATGTTTTTATGTTAAAATCGCTACGAAACCTAAGGTTTTGGAAGGATTTCGTCTTGCGAGCGCGAATGTCCACTTTACCTTATTTTTTGCAAGGGATTCTTGAAATTTGATCAACTAAGAACAAGAATTTTCATTTTCTATTGTTTTTTGCAAGGGAAAACGAGCGTCAACAAAAAACCGGATCCGGGGGTAATCCACTTTTCTGAAGCTTTCGCAGAAAAATGATGAAAATGTAGCTGCGGCCTAGGTTTTGGGCGGGGGGCGTGCACCAGGGGGTCCAACAATAATAATTCTTTAGAAGTAATAGTGTTCAACAGCAACAGCAACAGCAACAGCAACAACAGCAACAACAGCAACAACAGCAACACCAACAACAACAACAACGCAACAAGCAGAATTCTCACCACGAATTCCTTATTCAGCCACGCACGCAGGGACAATGTATGACCGTTCGGCCCCTTCACTCTGTTATTCATTGTCCTGGGTGCGTGTCTGAAGTGGGGATCCGTGGTGAGGATTGTGTTTGTTGCGTTGTTGTTGCAATTGTTGTTGTAATTGTTGTTGTTGTTGTTGTTGTTGTTGTTGTTGTTGTTGTTGTTCTTGTTGTTGGTGGTTTCTGCTGTTGTTTGTTGTCGTCGTCCCACCCGCGACCCCCCCGCGACCCACCCCGCGACCCACCCGCGACCCACCCGCGACCCACCCCGCGACCCACCCGCATCCCACCCAGCGACCCACCCGCGACCCACCCGCGACCCACCTGCGACCCACTCCGCGATCCACCCGCGACCCACCCCGCGACCCATCCGCGACCCACTAGCGACCCACCCCGCGACCCACCCGCGACCCACCCCGCGACCCACCCTTGAGGGAGGAAAACCCACCCGGACCCGACAATGACGTTTACTACAAGGCCCTGGGCGTTGACTAAACAGCCTTGCCTTGTTCGATTCATTCCGTGTGTGTGTGTGCGTTTACTAAACGGTTTCGCTTGCCGG